TTCATTGTATTATTTCATTAGTAATGAGTTTCATTGTATTATTTCATTAGTAATGAGTTTCATTGTATCATTTCATTAGTAATGAGTTTCATTGTATTATTTCATTAGTAATGAGTTTCATTGTATTATTTCATTAGTTGAACGAAGATGCAAGAAATAATTGGGAGAAGAGTTACTATGTTCCGTCCAGACTACGTAATCACCCAAACAAAGAAGAGTTAATTACAATGACCAAGACAAATGCCGTCTTTTATCTCACATTCGGTGGATTTCTTCCAGGTAAGTCTATTCTCAGTATCATAAAAAACGCTTTTTACTCTTTTTTTTTCTGCATTTCATCACTGGGAAAGCTCATTGAGCGCCTTCAATTTTTCTCACAAAATATTTTACCCATTTTTATATATTTTTCTTAATGTTTTGTTAATTTTGTACATAATTTCTTATTCCTTTCAAGTATTGATCAACGTTTTGAGAAAATATGAAAACAATTATGTGGGATTTGTTTTTGAAAGGTGACAGAAATTGACTTTGGTGTTTCAAAGGTCAAAGCCAGTATAAAGATAAATATGATAAAAGTCATGGATATTTTGATTAATGCTATTAATTTGATGAAAAACAACAATTTTACATGGATTATGATGAATAATTACTTTCCCTTTCCTTCTCAGCAAAACAAGTTGTATTTTGGATCATAGCACCATAATGTGTTGACAATAGAATGTTTGAAAGTTGCATCATTGTCAAATCAAATCAAGACCGAGAAACTAAGAATTGCTTTGATTATTTGTAACAAAAGGTTGTGCAGGAGTACATCACAAGGTTTTGTTACCACAATTGTACTAATGAGCAATCAAAATCAGCCATCTGCTTTTATTTGTTCCAACCCTCTGTTCCTAAGTCAAATTCAGGCACCATCCACAAAATAGTTCCATTTATAGTCTACTGATTTTCCACATAAAATGTTGTGAAAATTTCAAATTTTTGGATCAAAAACTAGAAGCACTGTCACATTTTGTCTGTTTTGTTCAGAATTAAAATTGAATTCAGTGGAAATTACAGAAAATGTTAAAAAATTACCAAAATTCAAGTGGGGAAAAATTCTGCAAGCAATCACTTGCAGACGACTTAGGTGTGGATCGGGTGTCGTACTTAGCAGAGCAGCCACTTTGCTGCGATCTATTGAAAGTAAGCCTCCAAGAACCGTTGGATTCATGTCATTAATCTAAAATTTAAAGTGGAAATCTTACCTGGATCAAAATTGAACTTTCGATTGAATAAACTCAAAAAGCAATTTATTAGTCTTCCCTATGTAGATGCAAAGCTGTTGATGTTTAGTTATGGTATGTACCTAACCCATGTTTCTGTATCATGTATTTAGATGGTTTATTTCATCGAATGTTGACCCGTGCTGTACGATATTCACAAGAACAAGGTGGCCATGAACCCAAACTTTATCATAGGGAGGCAAGATTCTATTTGGATGAAGACCATGACTTTGCATTAGAGATGGCTCCAATAAGACATGCAAGAATTAAGGTAGATTGTGTGCTGTCTGTCTTTTGTTTGTCTGTCGTATTTTTCATTTATAAAATTTTTGCACTACACTCAAAATTTGTGGCAATAATCAAATTCGTGAATATATGTTACACCGTTTTTTGAAAATGTTTAGATTTTGTTTAGATTGGACTCATGATACTTGATATGTACAAGAATAAATTCTAACTAATGAAATATTACAAATAAAATGCATTTTCCCCCAAACTTGCAAGCCTATTTTAGAACAGGCAGGGGAGGTGCTCTTTATCGCATGCTCATTGTGAAAGTGAAACTGTATTGTGTACATATATTGTCACATTTTATATGTAATTTTCTGCAGGTGACTGTGATGCATGTTGGGCTTTTTGATGCAGATGACAGTGAGGAAATACCTGACCAGCCACCAAAACCAGAAGCATGTGCTAAGGTATTGTAATTTGAATTGAAGTCAGTTAGGCAATGAATGAATGAATTTTACTCATTTTCTTGATCCAACAATTTCATGTCATTTAATGGGTTGATTGTAAATCATGATATTTGGATACAGGCAAATTATCGGGTTGTACCATTTTTTACTTAAAATTTCAACTTGTCTTTTTATTTCATTGCAGGTGCGTCATTTCTTGGATTCCACGCTGGCCGACCTGAGAGAAATGTGGATCAAACGAATCAAATACGAGTTTTCGGTTGCATGTCCTTGTGGTTCAAAGAAAGACGAACATTTCCTTAACCTTGATCAGTGTCTCAACAACAAAGTAGTGCTGTGTGATCATAGACGCATTAAGACAAACTCATTTAAGAAATGGTTTCCATCAAAATCTACGTCAGGTCAGTTGTGGTTTTTATTTTTAAACTCTTTCAACATCATCAGTATTGTCAACATATTTATTTTAATGTGATGTGTGGTTGTCTTGAATTATTGTTTACATGACCTTACTAGAAAAATAGTTTGTGAACCTAATCATACACATAATTATTCTGTTTTGCACATGAATTGTACTTCATGCTTTTATAGGTGTGGTGGAGTTAATTGCCATGGTGTCTTGACTTTTGACCCAATACTAGTGTTCTCAAATTTAGTTAGATATATATATTAGACTAATATTAGAATAAAAAGGTTTTTTTTTCTAATTTATATTTTGAATCTTGT